ATATAAGGTGCTTAGAATAGTCAAACTCATAGAGACAGAAAGTAGAACAGTGGTTGCCTGGGGCGATGGGGAGGAGTATTGGGAGTTGCTGTGTAATGAGGACAGGGTTTTGGTTTTCCAAGATGCAGAAGTACTGGAGATTGGCTGCACAACACTGCCAGTATATTTAACGCTGTTGAACTGTACACTTAAAAATGGTAAAGATGGCACATTTTATGTTATGTGTATTTTACTATAGTTTTTAAAAAAACACACACAACAGATATGGGTTCAGGGTTTAAATCCTAGCTCTGCCACTTCCAGGCTGTGTGACTTTGGGCAAGTGGCTGTACCTCTCTGTGCCTCAGTTGGTAGTGATAATTTACGGGAGTGGGGAGGATTAAGTTCTTGATATTGTGCAGCAATAAATAACATAGACAGGGCGCCTGCCTGCAGGGAAACAACAATCACTACAAATATTCTGATTCTATTATTATTGTTTTATTATCATTCAAGGTGCAGTACAGATATAAAACAGGGTTATGGGAGTTCCTGGTGGTTTAGGAAGTCAGACTAACTTTGATCCCCAAACTGCAAAGGAGCTGGCAGGGCAAGGGGAGAGCAGGGATTTGGGAATGAGTGACTTGAATTAAAGACCTGCCTCTAGGTCACCTTCTCCATGTGACCTTGGCCTTCTGAGCCATGGTGTCTAAAGAGAGCAAAGTGGAAGTCAAAGCAAGACAGAACTCTGCTGATGCTCAGGGAGGTGTGGGAGGAACTTAAATCGAAGCTTTCTGAAGAGGCCTGGCTGGGCAGAGGAGGGTTAGGACCAGTAAGATCTCTCCTGGGGGTGACAGGTGCCATGGTGGGGGTTTGGGGAGAATTGGGGGGCGGTTGGCTCAGACGTGTATGAGACACAGTCATATCATATTGCCACAGGCTGATGGCAGTCATCAATTTGCCATTTTAAGGTGTATGATAGAGGGGGTTTTAGCACACTCACAATGTTATGCAAGCATCACCACTATTGAATTCCAGATCATTTCCATTCCCTCAGAAAAAACCAGTACCTATAGCAATCACTCCTCACGCCCATTCCCCCACCCTGGCCCCTGGCAATCACTAATCTACTCTCTGTCTCTCTTGATTTGCCCACTCAGGACACATCATATAAGTAATCAGACAGTAAGCAGCCTTTTGTACCTGGCTCCTTTCACTTTGCGTGTCTTCCTAGTCCATCTATGTTATAGCGTGCATCGGTGCTTCAGTCCTTTTTACGACTGAATACCAAATAGACTTTTGCAAAGTTCTGAGTGACAATACTAATTGCAGGAATTTATTTCACAAATACTGGTCAGGTACTAAAGTTCCCAGAGATTCTCATACCCTTGCCCCCAGAAGAAATCCAGAATATAGTATGTGCTTCATTAAATATCTGAGCAGATAGAATCACAGAAGGTATAGTCTGGGGACTATAGTGGAGAGTGACAGACATGGTAGCCCCTCCCCCCCAGCCCCCAAGCCGTAATAGCCCTGTTTGACCTGGACCTTTCCAGAGCAGCCTAGAGGGGACACTGGCAGTCCCAGAATGGAGCATCAAAGACAAGCGATGTAGATCCCAAGCAGTGGTGTGTTGGAGTCAGCACACACCTCTTCAGAGAGAGCTGATAGTTAAATTTCTAGGAATGCTGCCTGCTGTTTGTTAAGCACAGCATTACCTAGAATTAAATTATACCACTTACAATTGAATATATTACACAACAGGGAACGAGTGCTCAAAACTCATCACGCCCTAATTATCTTACTACATTGTACAATAATCTATCTTGCGGTTATTTCTCTCTGTTGTCTGCATGGCGGGGATATAACCGTGTTTTGCTGTGCACATCTTTCCAATTCTGTGACTCACAGTGTCCTGTTGGTAGCTTGAAATTGACCATGGTGGGAGTTTTTAGATCGTGGAAATTGACAAATGCTACCAAGCAGGGTTTTCTTCTCAAGAGAGATGGTTGTTAAGAGTTTACCAGCACACCCCTGGTCCCCAAGAAGGGTTAGGGTGTTAGGGTAGTAGTTCCCAATTCAGGAGTACTGTTCCTCGGGAGGCATTTTTAGTTGTCACAATGGTTGTCTGGCGCTAACACATCGTTTAGTGACTGAGGGCCAGGGCTGCTAAAAGTTACACAGTGAAGAATCGCCCCATAACCCCATGACTTTTTTTTTATTTACTGTGTTGTAATAGTTTCTGGTGTACAGCATAGTGATTCAGTTATACATACATACATATATACATATTCTTTTCCAGTACAGTTACTACAAGCCATTGAATATAGTTCTCTGTGCTATACAGTAGGACCTTGTTGTTTCTCTATTCTGTACATAGTAGTTTGTATCAGCCAATCCCACTCATGACTTTTGAACAATCTGTTAGACATCCATACCGGTGAAAAATCTGATTCTCTATTTCTGAGCCCCAAATCTGCTTTGCATATATTATAAGTACCCCTCTCAATTTGCTGCTTTTTTCCACATCATTCAGTCATGGGGGAAACCGGGTCATTTGTCCTGTAGACGGCGTCCTACTGGCTGTTTTCGTCCTCATGTTGTTAAGACACTGGACACTTTGTCCTCTTGTTTTCTAAAAACTGATGATTACAGTGGGAGACTTGATTGGATTCAAGCCCTTTTTTTTTCCCTTGTGGGGACGGAAGGAGGGCATTTGTACATGTCACCAGTAGGGGAGGTATCCAGAGGGCCACTTGTCCCTCTTTCAGTGTTAGGAGTGCTGTGGACTCTGGTGATGCCCGCCTCACCACCCACCCCTCCAGTAAAACGCTTCTGCAATCTTGAGCATTGCTTGGACCCATAATATACCATTAAGAGATGCAAAATGGTCTTTTCCCAAGAGAATCTTTTTTTAAATAAGGGAAACTGAGAAGAGTTGCTATTTGCCAGGTGTTCTCCAAAATTCTACCCTGCCTGGTTTCATATTCCAGCCTCTGCGACTTTCTAGCTCTGTGACCTTGGGCAAGTGCCTTCACCTCTGTGTGTCTTGGGTTTCTCAGCTGTGCTGTAGGGCACACGAGTGTCTCTCTCACGGAATTGGTGTGAAGGAGGAATGAGGTTGGGAGGCCAGGTAACTGCTAACAGTTGTTTGCCCAAATAAATGTAGGACCCTGAGAAGGCTGAGTCTGGAAGAGCCAAGGCCAGCAGGACTCAGTCCTCCTTCTCCAGGCTGCCTTCCATGTCTACATCCTGGCAGCACCTGGCACCTGGGGAGGAAGGAGGAGCTTGGGCTCAACTGGCTCTGGCAGCTCCGGCACCCTGCCTCTCACAGGCTCCCAGAGGCTGAACAGATTCTGGGCGGGGTTTTCTGGCCACAGGTGCTGGAAGGTTTGGCAGATTCTGAGTGAGAAGTCGTCCCTGAGGGGAGGGAGCACGCTGAGCTGCCACTTTGTCGTCCAGCCAGAACCAGGTGAGAGATGGTGAGGGGGAGTTTTTCCCCACACCCGCAGCCCACTCGCGTTACACACGCGCACGCGCGCGCGCGGGACAGAAGGCTGGGGAGGGACTTGAACCCAGAGATTCAGCGCCCACCTCCTCTGGCCCCAGCACACGGGCCACCTGACCTCCCGGCAGCCCCCTAGCCGGCTGCCTTTCTCAGCTCCCACCACCTTCCTTCCTTGCAGATCGGTTACTTGAACCCCCTTCCCTCTCCGTCCCCATCGCTCTCCCTTCCCCCTCCAAGGCCACCGGCTTCCTTCCTCCCTCCCACCCTCCCTCCCTCCCGTC